AAAACAAAACAATACATGACAAAAAACAACTTTAGCTTTAGGTGTTGGGGGAAAAATTAGTGTTTCTAGAAAATTACTAACCTATTTCTATATATCACAGAGGAAGATAAGTGAGTGCCTTATTCTTTTCCATACCCTGGATAACATGTTTCTTGGCTGAGAAGTATCTCTGCTCTCATCCCACTGCTCAGATTGGGGTTATCAAAAGACATCTGAATATAATCTCTTTTCTGTGTATTTCTATTTCATACTGGAGGAAGACTGGCTTCAAAGACAATCTTCTCTTTAGCTTTTTGCATTAAGTCATAATCTAGAGGTTGGAAGAGAGCTGCAAGCAAATCTAGTATTTGTTGCACAAGGCCTAACCACCTATTTGTCCATTTGGTACCAATATGGCGATATATATGTACATATAAAAAAACAAAAATCACCTGAAGGATTAGAAAAATCCAACATGCTGGTGGTAGGCTGAAGGAGATCCGGGCTGCTGGATGACAGTGTTCCAGGAATAGGCATTATAGCCAAACTATGTCTACAGTGTCTTGTTCCCACAATGCTGTCGTCTTGTGATTGGCTCAGGCCTCCATCACTTCAAAAGAATGCAAGATATTACTTTAAAGTACTTGAGGGTTCTTAATAGTAAACATTTCTGTTCTCTGAGTACTACGGCATAACAGAACCAATTCAAAGTGGTGATTTAAGAACATTAAAATATAGAACATTTTTAAAAAGTGACAACTGTAATAATGAAAATGGCAATAAATGTTTTTCAACAATTACACTCAAATAAAACAACTTAAACATTTAAGTAATCCTACTACATCATAGAGAAATAGTCATATTTAGTTTATGCTGGTTTTGGCAGAGAAATTGGACCTGAGTGTTTTGGGAACCCTTGAGATCAGGCAGTTTCTGTGGACACTGATGTACATATCCAACGATGCATGGCCAATACCAGCGCAAGGTTCTCTCTCTCAACAGAAAAGCTTGGCAACCTTTTAGGCAAAGGATGGAGTTGGGTCTAAACCCAAACCAAAATATAGCAGGTTGTAGAAAACAATGGGGCCAGGTTCAAGTGACAACATAAGAAAGGTCTTTAAACATGAGCAATCTGAGACTGCCCAAACCATCAATAGTAGAGAAAAGATAACAGGAAGATAATGGCACAGAGAATAGCAACAAACAATGAAAACATGTGACAAATAGGAGAAGAAAAAGGAGGACCAGAAACAAAAGTGGAAAAAAGAGAATCGATAGTCTCTAAAGGTTATTCTAAGGGCACATTATTTCTTGCATGAGCTCTCAAGTCTATTTGGCTGTTTGCTAGCTGAGATCATCAAAACCAAAGTAGAAAGCAAGTCATCTAAAGTTAATTCCCTTTAAAGTTTTCAAAAACTAATATCAATTAAATAGCCATATATAAGCAAATAAAATACTTCTCCTTTAAAATATTTAGAAGTGTTACATAGGCAACTCTAAATCCATCTAAGAGAAAAACATAAAAA